CTGCTCGGGACCTTGGCCTGCAGGTGGACAGCACTCTAAGCTATGATGAACATGTCACCCAAACAGTGTCCTCGTGCATAGGTAGCTTATGTCAGATTAATAGGGTAAAGCATCTGTTTGATGCTAGGACATTAGAACGGGTTATAAATGCCTTAGTGTTTAGCAAGTTATACTACTGTTCTCCGGTGTGGTCTAATACTTCAAAGAAAAAATATCTCGAAGCTGCAGAAAGTTCAGAATTTTGCTTGTAGAATTATCACTGGAAAGCGGAAATTTGATCATATAACACCGGCATTAAGAGAGCTAAGGTGGCTCCCCGTGACCAGTTTTCTTAAATATACACTTGGAGTTTTAGCATTTAAATGTGTTAAGGGGTTAGACCCTAGCTACCTTTGTCATAGATTTAAGACAAGTGATTGCGTTCATGACCGTAATACTAGATATAAGAATAACTTGAATATCCCAGCTTATAAGTCAGCTTCTGGGCAACGCACATTTTTATACCGTGCAACGAGTCTCTGGAATTCTCTACCATGTGGAATAAGAGATAATTTGCCAATCTTCAAGAGACATTTAAAGGAATTTCTCAGTAGGTTTTAATTAGTAATGTGATATATTTTAACATCTATTAGAATTTAGATTTTTAATTTTAATGTATTTAGTATTGATTGTAATTAGTTTTTAAAACCCATTTAGTGGAAAACTAATAAACACATTTACATTTACATTTAAAGTGAATTCGCGCTATTTCTAACTTTATCGCGCTTATGTTGTCAAATTACCTGCAGTTAAATTCTTAAAGACTCTATCAAAGTTCAGGAAAAGAAAAACAAAAACGTTGTCTTACAGTGTACATATAGTTCACGTCCTCGACAAAACGTGAAATTAGGCACTTTCAAGTTGTAGTGGTGCAGCAACGGCAAAGAAATGTACAAAAAGCGTGATGCACTTGCAAAGTTGTTGTTTTGCTAATATAAAGCCATTGTTTTTTTGCCGTGCTTGTTGCAGTCGCCGTCGTTGTTGCTTAAGCTCCCTAATAAAATTCTTAGTTACATGTGCAATGGCTCGGGGAGAATTTCCTCTAAACAATTGTTTCTTATTTATTTAATTTCATTGTAATTGTTTTTTTGTCAGCTTATCGTTAACTCCTGATAGATCGACAGCAGCAAAACAAAACAACAACAAAAGCAAGTGTACGGTATAAATGTTCGGTAAAAGCTTTTCTTGTATATGTTGGGAAAAAAACAGTATGCTAATTACGTAAAGCTGGGTCAAAAACATCTTGAGTTAATTGTCTTAGTTTGTAATTATCATCATTATTGTTATTATCATAACTATTATATGATGGAAGAGAGTGCTATGAACGGACGTACGGACGTACGGAAGTAGAGTATATGATAGAAGAGAGTGTTATGGACGGACGTACGGCCACGTTTTCTCGGAGGCAAAGATAATTTCTTAAAATTTTTAAAGCAGCATTTTTTTTCGGAATTGTTTATTGCCAAAAGTTTCCGATTATCACCAGCATTATTATTTATAAGAATGACTGACCCAAGAAAATTGAAACCTATACGCAAATGGACGGAACAAATGAATGCCGATATTCTAAGCTGCAAACGAGAGGCCGTGCCTATGACACTATTGGAACAACCACCGCGGGATGGTAATGGGAGGGAAAAAGGCTGTATCAGAATTATGAGTGAGCTCTGGGATGCGAAAGGATCTGGAGATCTCGGACTCTCAAGCCAGAATTTACGAGATCAAGCAGCTAGACTTGAGAAAACGCTAGAAGAGAGCTCAGAAAACCTATTGTGGGAGGCACAGACGGATGCAAATTCAAAAGTTCTCGCTCAAAGAAACGTGTCTATGGATGCATAAATCGGGGCAAACTCGACAGGCTTTACTTCTTTGCCCATAAATACAGATTTATCTATTCTTGAAGAAACAGGGAGTGGATCACAATATGCTAATCTGTTAGCCTCATCAAACCAAGATTTACATACAGCTAGTACTCCTCAAATCCCAAAAGACGTAGAGCTGAAAGAGCAAGGAGAGAACCATTTAGACCCTGTTTACATGGAGTGGGGGACCGCGGTGTAGTGGGGTAGGTTTCTTCTGTTTTGTGTCCCTCAGAGCGTGAAAACAAAAGAAACCAACCCCACTAGACCGGCGTCCCCCACTCCATGTAAACAGGCCCTTAAACAGCTCGGGATGCCTTCCAGAGTATAAGACCATTTACAAGCCATCTATGGTCAACTGGGCAAAACGAAGCGATGGTAATGCAATTGTTATATCGAAGTCACTCATAACAGATGCTTACAACGAGATCGCAACCTGGAGAAAAAACGTATTTCTTGTGCCGTATGGGAAAGTAGTAAGGGACCTTATTGATCAAGTGACTTTGCATGTTAATGACTGGAATAGTGGTTCCGACAATCAGCACATATCTCTGAAAGCAGCTTTTGTGCTCCTCGCTGTAGGGCTCCAAAAGCCAAGCCCGAAGTCTAATGCAAAAGATGATCAAGATGTCTTGTCTAAGCGCCTAATACTTTGAAGGCAAGGGGAAATTAATAAGTTATTACGCGATGGTAGAATTATTCAAGGTCGTATCGGAAAACTCAAGGCGTCGGAACCGCCCGATAGATCTAAGGTTTTTGCTAAGCTTGTACTGGAAGGCCAAATCAACTCACCGCCTCGTTTGCTGAGTGAAACAGCTAGTGGTGATGTGCTGTCTTTAACAGATGAGGTCATGTCGCAGTTAAAACAGAAACATCCCAATCCACAAACAGCCAAATTAGGTTCACTACTCTTCGGCCCAATTGATGACCAGTATCCGGAATCAATGTATACAGAGATTAACGGTGAGATGGTCAGGCAAGCTGCCTTGAGAACAAAAGGAACAGGAGGCCCCGCCCTGGGGTTGACGAGAATGGCTTCAGAAGAATCCTCGCTTGCAAGTCCTTTAAACAGTCATCGGCAAGGCTGTGTGAGGCAACAGCCACAATGACAAGGACTCTGTGTACGCAATACATTGATCCTATGACCATAGAGCCCCTGGTAGCTAACCGTCTAATTCCACTGGATAAAGGCCACGGTGCTGTTAGACCAATAGCAGTCGGGGAAGTGTTAAGGAGAATTTGTGGAAAGTGTGTAATGAGTGTTGTTAAAAAGGATGTTGTCGATGCTAGCGGCTCACTCCAGCTGTGTGTGAGGCAGCAATACACGCTATGCATACTATATCTGAATCAGATGATACTGATGCCATACTGCTCATCGACGCCTCCAATGCATTCAATGCACTCAACAGAGCAGCTGCACTCCACAACAGCCGGATTCTGTGTCCTATAATAGCAATTTACGGTATTGATACCTTCAGACAGCCAGCTCGGCTATTTTTCATTGGTGGGAAAGAGATCGTGTCAGCAGAAGGAACAACACAGGGCGATCCGCTTGCTATGGGTCTATATGCCTTAAGCATCCAGCCTTTAATTACGAGTCTACAAGCAGCGTCTAGTGTGAAGCAATGTTGGTTTGCAGATGACGCTAGTGGAGCTGGCTCCATTACGGAAATTGGGGCGTGGTGGGATGCCCTTAGCACCCTTGGTTATTTTCCGAACGACAGGAAATGCTGGATCATCGTAAAACCAGCTAAAGAAGAAAGTGTCAGGGAAGCTTTAAAGAACACGTCCATTAACGTAACAGTACAAGGGCAGAAACACCTTGGGCGCCGATAGGAACAAAGGAGTATTTAGAGGAATATGTCAGCGAAAAGGTGACCAATTGGGTCAATGACATAGCTAAGTTAGCAGAATTTGCTCTATCTCAACCACAAGCATGCTAAGCAGCCTACACCTTTGGCTTGAAACATCGGTGGACGTACTTTTAAGAACTTTGCCGGACATTCAAGATCTGTTAGAGCCATTAGAGAGTGCAATATCTCATATGCTAATTCCTGCGATTATTGAAGGCAAGTGTAATCAGCTGGATAGGAATATTCTAGCGCTGCCAGTTGGCTTGCTTGGCCTGGGTCTGAAAAACCCGTCCCTTGAAGCAAGGCGCGAATATGCTTCGTCTGTCAAAGTAACAAAGCCCCTCGTTGAACAAATTGTATCTCACTCACATCAGTTCCTTAAACATTCCCTCACAAAA